TGCTTTCAGGTATTTTAAATGCTATATATAGTATCTCATCAGTCCAATCATTTATGTTATTATCCTGAGTGGTTTTAGAAAATGTTTCTTTGTTTTGTGGGTAGAATTTCTCCCTCTACTGATTTTTTTTTCTGTAACTTTACAGTTATGACAGACATAAATCTGCTACTAATTGTACTTAGTATATTTTAAAAAGAGCCATTTTGTATTTCTGTAAATAAACTTGCACAATGGTGGGCCTATCAGAAGTACTGAAAGATACTATTCTGAACTATTTTAATATAAGGTATCCATTTTTAAGCACAAAGACAGGATTTCTCACAATGTTAAACAAAATGCCATTTCTTTAAAAGCAGACTGTTCTCACATGGTCACGATCCCTTGTTTTGTTGTTGTTGCTATTCTTAAATCCCTTAATATTGTGACAAGATATTTCCATGTGCTCCCTAATTTTGAGAATTATTTTGCAAGATTAAAAAAAAAAAAAAACCATATTCATTACAGCAGCTGGTCCTATAGTCATTTTACTGGTATCTGGCTATTCAACCAGTAGAATTCCACCTTCGCCCTGCAACAGGGGTCCTCCCATTGGTTTTACACATTTCAGTTGAGTGTATTTAAAATATTGCTTCATTGGACTTTGCACTTAAAAGGAACTAAACACATAGTACTTATGTGAATTTACTTCTGTAGAGCCTGTTGATTTAGGATTAGAAACAGCCCAGTTTACCAAGGTTCAGAAATCAAACCAAATTAGGACACTATGCCAGAATTGTGGCATTTTAGTGCAAAAGATACATTTTCATTAAAAACTACAATGTGGATGAACTGATAAATAAGTCAATAAAATCATTATTTGAGGAGTTTCATCTGGTTTACTCTTGATGTTGTATAGTCTATAGGTTTGGACAAAGGTATAATAACATATATCCACCACTATAATATCAAACAGAATGGTTTACTACCCTAAAAATCCTGTTCTCCACCTGTTCATCCCTTCCTCCCAGCAGCTCCTGATAACCACTGATCTTTCAACTGTCTCCACCGTTTTGCCTTTTCCAGATGTCATATGGTTAGAATCATACAGTACGTAGCCTTTTCAGGTTGGCTTCTTTCACTTAGTAATATGCCTTTAGATTTCCTCCGTATCTTTTCATGGCTTGATAGCCCTTTGTCAGAGTTGAGTATTATTCCATTATCTGAATATAAGACAGTTTATTTGTTCATTCAACGACTAAAGGGCACCTAGATTGCTTCCAAGTTTTGGCAGTTATGAATAAAGCTGCTCTAAGTATCCACACACAGATTTTTGGGTAAGCATGTTTTCAGTGCTTTGAGTAAATGCCAAGGAACTGAATGTTGGATTGTATTGTAAGAGAATGTTTACTTTTGAAAGAAATTGCCAAATTGTCTCCCAAAGTGGCTGTGCCATTTTGCATTCGCACCAGCAGTGAATTAGAGTTCCTGATGCTTGACATATTCGTCAGTATTTGGTGTCTTCAGCATTTAAACTTTAGCCATTCTAATATGTGTAGTAGAATCTCATTGTTGTTTTAATTTGAAATTTTTCTATAACATCTGATATTTATCATGTTTTCTTTTTTGTTTGTTTTTTTGAGACAGAGTCTCACTGTGTTGCCCAGGCTGAGCACCCACTATAGTTTCAGGAGAGAAAACTGCTAGGAAATATTACAAGAAATAACCCAAGGCTCCCTCTCTAGAGTTCAAGGCAGAGTAAGAGGTCTTGGCTTGAGATAAATATTTTAAATTTGAGTGTGTGTGTGTGTGTGTGTGTGTGTGTGTGTGTGTGTGTGTGTCATACAAAGATTTAGAGAGACAAATTGAGAGAATTAATTTTTATCCTCAGGAGTGAATACAATCATGTAGGGAAAGAGTGTTCACAGAAAAGCAAAGAGGACCAGGGATATCTCTGGAGTTTTCCAACATGTTTAGGGGTCTAGTCAAGAAAGAGGAGCCAGTAAAGGACATGAAGAAGGAGCTGCCAGTGAATGTGAGATAGGTGACTAGTCTGGAGAAGGAAATGTTTCAAGGAAAGCGTGACTGTGCTAGTTGCTGCTAAGGAAGGGATCAAGCAAAATGAGACAGAGATTTAGCCTTAGCAAGCCATTGCTCATTCGCAACCCCCATAAGATCTGTTTGACTGCAGTGATCAGATGAAAGCCGATTGGAATGAATTGGCTACTTGGGAGACTGAGATGGGAGGATTGCTTGAGCCGAGTAGGTCAAGGCTGCAGTAAGCCATGGTCGTGCCACTGCACTCCAGCCTGGACAATAGAGCTGGGCCCTGTCTCAAAAGACAGAGAAGGGGGCGGGAAAGAAGGGAGGGAAGGAGGAGGGGAAAGAGAGAGAGAAAGAGAGAAAGTGAGGCCAGGCATGGTGGCTCATCCCAGCACTTTGGGAGGCCAAGGCTGGTGGATCACGAGGTCAGGAGATCGAGACTTTTAACTTTTAATTTTCTTAAACTTTGGAGGCATTGTTCAAGACTGATTGGTAACAGGAAATTGCATACTAATTTATAGTGAAGACTAATAATCTCCAAGACTCTCTGAAGATTCAAATTCCTTCTGCCACTAGGAAGCTTTAAAAATGTATAATATATACTTTTTATATATATTCTTATATTCAATTTAAAAGTTGAAAATTAGATGGTAATTTACTGACTTTAAAGATGATTTTCTTTGTGTTTTTCATACCATTTACTTTCCTTGATTTTCCAGAAGGCCTGGGGAGGCAGAAAAACACATATAACTCTTGGCTATATCACTCAGTGTAACTTAGTTCCTATAAATTCTGGACGGCATGGGTCATGGAGCATGACCTTCCTGGCCAACATGGTGAAACCCTGTCTCTACTAAAAATACAGAAATTAACTGGGCATGGTGGCACACACATGTAGTCCCAGCTACTTGGGAGGCTGAGGCAGGAGAATCACTTGAATCCCGGAGGCAGAAGTTGCAGTGAACAGAGATCGGGTCACTGCACTCCAGCCTGGTGACAGAATGAGATACCGTCAAAAAAAAAAAAAAAAAAAAAAAAAAAAGAATAAAAGAAAGAAAGTGAAAGCAATGGAAGGGTAAACATTTTGCATAACAGTGAAAATGTGATTAGAATGTTACAAGATTCATAAAACCAACTGCCATTTAAAAACTGCAAGGAATTTCTTTTACATTCCAGTTGCATTTACAAATCTGCCTTTAAGAAAAGTATGTATGTTGTCCTTGCTTATTACCAGAACCCACAAAACAGTATATTTCTTTTGCTCTAGGATACCTTGAACTAGCTGGGGTTCCAAGGTTCATCCCCTCTGCATATGTAACAAAAATTCATTTCAAATTCATCTTTGACAACCCTATGAACAAAGTCTTTGTACTTCTTGTGGCTATGTGAACTAGTTTATCTCTGATAAAGGTTCATGCTGCATTTCCTGCTGTATATGAACATTGTCCTACAACCACTGCCTTGTCTCATAAACATTTAAGGAATGGGCAAAGCAGAGACTAACAAGAACCAAAAGCAGCAACTCCTGGTTATACTTTTTTATTCCCTTTATCTTCCACTCCTTGTATACCTATATAGCCTGTGGAAACATCATAAATTCTTGTTGACTGACACTGACAAACTAATTAACTTACATATTTTACTTAACAACAACAACGACAACAAGACAAGCCACATATTAACAACACTTCGAAATCATTGGGTGGACACACTAGGTGTGATCTACCATCCTCGGGGATTTAAACTGCCCTTGTGCAAACATACTTTATACATTGAGACCTGGCAGGCACCCAGGGAGTGGTTAAGGTCTACATTTATTGCTGAACTTTGGCCCAACACCCTCAAATGATGGGCGGCATTCTGGGAGTAGTTAGCTGGGTGGAGATGAGCATGTGTCCGCAGAATAATTTGGTATTATTAGCATGACATTTGATATTAAATATAGTATAATAATCGGGGATCACTGTTTCTTGACTCAGAGAAGTCACAAACGTAAAAAGCATGAAAACAAGTTAAGCCAAATTAGTTAAACCCAAATACAAGAATGACTCTGCTTCAATTTGACTGCTGATTAGATAATTAACAATTATGAGAAATACGCTTGATAGTAATAGTTACTACAGTAAAATAGGTTTTTATTGTTGTTGTTTCGTGTCTTTTTGGAGAGCTGAGCTAGGCTGGAGTTGGGGGAGAAGAGATGCTCTAGGTATATGCTATAATACTGTTTTTTCTCTCCAGACCATGAATTTAATCAGTTACTATTGTGCATATGTGGAAAATTAAAAATTAAAACATTCTGTAATTGATTGAATTTCATAGTTGACTATATAATTGTGAAAGCAAATAAAATAGGACCATAATTATTTATTTCTGTCTTCCTAAGTCATAGGACAAAGATCTAGGCATCTACAACAGATCAAATAAAAAGAAGTTAACTTTTAATTTTCTTAAACTTTGGAGGCATTGTTCAAGACTGATTGGTAACAGGAAATTGCATACTAATTTATAGTGAAGACTAATAATCTCCAAGACTCTCTGAAGATTCAAATTCCTTCTGCCACTAGGAAACTTTAAAAATGTAGAATATATACTTTTTATATATATTCTTACATTCAGTTTAAAAATTGAAAATTAGATGGTCATTTACTGACTTTAAAGATGATTTTCTTTGTGTTTTTCATACCATTTACCTTCCTTGACTTCCCAGAAGGCCTGGGGAGGCAGAAAAACACATATAACTCTTGGCTGTATCACTCAGTGTAACTTAGTTCCTATAAATTCTGGACGGCGTGGGTCATGGAGCACATAAACTACACTTAGGCTACTGGGTTTTACAAAGCTATCTGGTTTTATGTTACTCTGTTATTCAGATTCATCTGAAATTGAAATTATCACAAAATATTTATTTGCATTGTCATTATTGGGTATAGTCTGCTTATTTTTTAATCAAAGCATTTCAGTGTTATATTCGTTTGTTTCAGGACTCATGCCCGTTGCACAGCAGCCGGTTTATTGTGCTTCCAAGCATGGCATAGTTGGATTCACACGCTCAGCAGCGGTGAGGCCACGACAACCATCATATCTCATTTTCTCTTTGCACACATGCATAAAACATGAATTCTGTAGAGAGGAATCACTTGAGAAATCAATTTTTTTGGATAAAATATGGAAAAATAGCATACCTCCATCTCAATTATAAAAATAGTTATCAGATCACATAAAGGACCAAATAAATAATAGATCATTTTTAAATGATGTAGATTCTAAATACAGATGTCTTATTAAAAAATGTATTAAGGATAAGTAATGGGGAGATAGTACTTATTTACAAAAATGACCCCAAATGTAAATATTATTAACTTCAGGTTTTCTGAAATGCAAGATGCAATAGGCCCCAGCCATTATTTGTCGCCAGTGATACGATGAAAATGACTGAAAACATGGAGCCAGAAGGAGGGGTGGGGCCAGACCTTTATTTGATAGAGTGGTCAAGGATAATGTCTCCATGGAGGCCTAGGGTGAAAGGTGTACAATACTTTAGACCTAATTAATCACATGCATTGATAGCATGAGGTAAGAATGCCTGCCTTTTTATAATTCACAAAAGAGCAGCTTGAATGGGGCCTGGCAAGCAAGGGGAACGTAGTTTGAGGTATGACTCAAGACACCAGCACAGGAGCTAGACCAAAAGCAGCTATGGGTCACTGTTGTGAGCTTGGATTTTATTTCAAGGGCAACCATCCATGGGGCTTTTACACACAGGAGTGATAAGATCATATTTCGTTTGTTTGAAGACCATTCTGCCTGCTTTTGGAAATTGTATTACAAAGGACAAGTGAAAAAGCAGAAAGAACAGTTGTAGAGGGGCTCTGGGTGGTTCATCTAGGTAAGACAAAGAGAGGATCTAGAGAGAGAAAGAGAAAAATATTAGTAATCAAAGAATTAGTAGGAGACAGAAAAAACAGATGCACAAATGTTAACTGTTCAGTCCAAATGGAACGTAAGTAGTTCTCACACTCTTACATTGATTGGAAATTATTACTTAATTTGAAAAGACATAATCTTCAGACAGACTTCTTATAAACACATAAAGCTGTCTTACAAAGCAACATAAACCTTAAAGACCAGAAATTTTATATTTAAGATTACAAGACTGGAAACTTCTCCAGTCAATTCTCATTATTCATGGTAGTTCTGTTCCACAAAGTCACTTGCAAACACTACGTTAGTGACTACTGAACCGTTGCTTTTAGGGGAAATACAGGATTAAGTTCCTGAAAGCCTCTGGTCACAAAATTCCAATCAACCAGTCAATACATAACCTTATTTTATGTGTATTCCTGTTTAAAGAAACCTTATTTATTATATGTTGTATGAACATTGAACTCATTACTAAAACACTTATTACTCATGCCTGAACAAAGTTTATCTAACACAAATATTTTCTGTACAGGACATCAGTCTTCTTACACTAAAGAACACTACACAGCACTTCTGCAGTGGGTTTAGCAGCCATTTTAAACAGCAGAATCACCAATAAGAAAGCACAAAATTAGAAAAATATGGCACCGCAGAGTCTAGTCTTACTTGACCTTAGCATGAACATGCACATCAGTGACTCAAATTTCTCACTGCCCTGTGCATGTCCACAAATAACCACGAATGCTCCACAAGTATTGATTTCCAGGGTTACAGGTAAATTTTAGCAAGCAAATTTAACAAATTTGTTTATATGTAACCCATGAATAATGAGAATTGACTAATTTTTTAATAATTGCAAATAAAATCAGTAGTTGATAAATTAAGTCAAATAATGTTAGTCTGAAAATACTTAAATTGTCTTCCAGATAGGGCAGATTATTAAGAGTGCCTTTAGAATCAAAGTTCTAAAGATTTTCACTAAAAGTATTTTTAATTAAGTATTATTTGTTATACAACCACAATATCTGAAAGAAAACTTGGGATATTAATTCTAAGTCTTGGCTGCTTAGCTTCAGGTTCCTGCAGAGTTCAGTAGATAAGAGAAGTTTACATAATTGTTTCCAGGAGTTGTCCAGTAATACTGATTTTTAAAAAATTAATTAGGTGAGACTTTCAGGAATTAATATAATACTTAAGGTATGTGTTATTTTACTATCTACTTACCAGTCATTGTTATATAGCTGGGAGGATATCTGACTAGTATTTTTTACATCAGAGAACTGTAAGATGCTTTAATGATCAGTTTGTCCTGTATTATATGTTTATGAAACCGCTGAAACCTACAACCTTCTAATTGGCAGTTGGCTGCTAATCTTATGAACAGTGGTGTGAGACTGAATGCCATTTGTCCAGGCTTTGTTAACACAGCCATCCTTGAATCAATTGAAAAAGAAGAAAACATGGGACAATATATAGAATATAAGGATCATATCAAGGATATGATTAAATACTATGGAATTTTGGAGTAAGTAAAACTGTATCTATTTTCTTTTAAATAATGAAACAAAGCATTTTTTAGACAAGCTATAAAAAGGGGCAAATAAGCTTATACGGTTGAGAAATGAACGCAAGCTTCAAACTTTTGGTTTGGCAAACTCTCTGGGAGAAAATTTTTTTTCTGGATGTGTGAATAGAATGTAAGTTTATACATTATGAATGTTACTTTGAAATATGTAAAATGCTTCATTACTACCTTCAGTTGTAAAGTTGACATTTAGTCACCTTTGAAGGCAATGATACCTTCTCTGCCTGAATTCCAAGCAATATTCAAATATACTCTTTGTGAAATATTGTAAGTTTCGTAACTTCAACCACTTTTATAAGAAATAGTTGATACGCACACATACTTTCTCAATGAATTGTGTCTGAATTAGAGTAGTTGAGGATTTCACAGCACAGAATCATAGTTATCATGTTGAAGGAATCAGACCTGAGATCAAATCTTGGCTCTAGCACTAATCATGAACTTAGCCATCATACCTCTAGATGCTTCAATTTTCTCACATATAAAATAGAGATAATAGTATGACAAACTTAGGGACTTTGAAAAACTTAAAATGATATATGTAAGGTACTTAAAACAGAAACTGGCAAAAAATAAAATTTTCAGTAAATGCTAGCTGTTTTCAATCATATTACTACACTAATAACATCTATATCTGGTAAGTCTAAGATCTACTGGTATGATAAAGATGACAAAATGATCATTTGCTCAATGAAAATAATGGGTATAAATTCCTCCTGCCAAAATGATAGAAGGTTACAGCTAAATTTATCAAATGATTTAGTTAATATCAATAGAAAAAAATCTAATTGAATAAATTAGATAAATAAGATATCTAATATGTAATTAAATAAAAATTGGAAGTAGCAATAGCTTAATGACACACATTTCCTTATAACATGTTCAAATTAATAGATTCTTCAGAAAATAACTTAAAATGAAGTGGTAACGTGCTTCATTCTTTCGTCTCAAAATACTATTTTCTTTATTTTTAGCCCACCATTGATTGCCAATGGATTGATAACACTCATTGAAGATGATGCTTTAAATGGTGCTATTATGAAGATCACAACTTCTAAGGGAATTCACTTTCAAGACTATGATGCAACTCCATTTCAAGCAAAAAGTCAGTGAACAGCTTATGTGTTAGCCGTAGCCGGAAATCAGCACCAATGGCTTATATTCAGACCCTATCTTCATTTGAATATAGCTTTTAAATGAAATGTTACAGTTTTAAGTTTTCCTTCATGCATTTGATGATAAATATTTTCTAAATTTTGAGTGAAGTATATGGATAAAACGTTACGAACTATTGCAAATGTGACATGGACCAAAGCTAGGTTGTAATCTCAATAGTCTAAAAAATGATCAAAACAAATGATATTCAAGGAATATTCTGCCTTTCAGAAAGTGTATTTATATCTGTGCTTCATAAATATTAATGCTCTTCAGAACATCATTTTAAAGGAGATACTTGAATTATTTAAATCAAACCAGATGTAAAACACTCACATACGTAAAGTTCATACTTTAAAAGAGGAAAGCTACTTAACAAGGACAAATATTTCATAATAATAATTTCTACTTATATACCATCTTTCAACTGAACATTTCAGTTCTTCCAAGAGCTTCTTAAAGTAGCATATTTTGGGGGCAGTAGTTAAGGAATAAACTACAGTGTAAACATATCCCAGATGAAAACTGATGTATGGAAAAATGACAGAAAGTAACCGATTGACACTGTTGATTCACAGTTCAGTCTCCCATCTGGGAAAGATATTTCTTTCCTCTGCTCACTTTAAGAACTTTAACTGACTCCAAAAATCTCAGGAATTAAACTTTTAACAGTTAAAGCAATAAAGAATAGTTAGTACTCCAAAAAATGTTATATTTAAGATATGCTCAACAAGAAAAAAATGCAAATGTAACATTTTTTCAAATTACTTCTTTGTTGACTTGTACAGATTTCGAAAGTGCCTATCTTTCAATACAACTTTTTTGTTCTTATCTCCATAAATTACTTAGTCTTCGATGTATAGGTGTCGAGGAAATGAAACCAATTTTGCCACAGACACAACTGTAAATGTTTTTGTACCTATGCTGAAACTCATAACAACACAGAGGTAAAGATAGCTGTGAGGTTTTGCTTTTTTTTGTTGTCAGCTAGCTTAAAAATCATTAAACACACTTGCTTTGGGTAACACTCTTTACAAGCAGTAATTAATGCTAATAACAGTGAAAGCACAAGATTTCCAAATCAGTCGTTTTCTCAAAAAAATGTTGGATAAATGACTCACCCTGTCTGCTAACTCCAGACCTCCCAGCTTGAAGCAAAATCTATCCATGTGAGATTGATATGGATTTCCTAGAAGTACTGGAATGTTATCATATCTTGCCCTATTTTAATTCTGCTATAGAAAACTATTGCCTTCACTTTTAAGGATTAATTTGAATATGAATAACTGTAGTCTAGATTTTCATTTAATGTGTTAGAGACAAAGTAGTGAACATCAATGAACATCTGATAGAGATAAATTGTAATCAGGCACAAGCTTGTTTGTATGTTCTGGCAGTGACCAATCAGCGAATGATGTAGGTATGCCCAGTATCACTTATCTTCTGTATTTTTCTTCTGTTGTGTAAATACTATAAACTTTTATGGATAATTTTTGGACTAGTAGCCTTCAATATACATTCTGCTTTGAATTAATTTTTTCAAATCAATAAACTATGTAGGCATTTAAAACCAAATCTCAACTAGAACTGAAAAATGTGAGTTACATAAGTTAAAAACTTACATTAAATCTTATCTTCTATAGGTAACTCTAAATAAATTCATACTGTTATATCTCTCTGTATACCAGTTGAGAAAATAATTAAATTGAAGTGTGGGGGAGGGGGACCTTGGTTTCTTGTATTTTTCAGTGAATATGCTAATGTAAATGGTATATTTTTGAAATGTGTTTTTCTTAGTAAAATGAAGTGGTACTCTTAGAACAGCAACACTAGAAACACGTAGACATTGAGAAAAAGTTCGAGACTTCATAATGACATTGAAATGTCCTACAAATTTTATTTTCTCATATAAAAATAAATTTAGACACATGTAATATCATTTAACATTCAAGTGATTATATGACAATTTCTCCTTACTTTTGCTCTCTTTATAAATTTAGCACACTGAAGAGGTCTGAGAATGCAAATTTTGAAAGAAGTTCAAGGTATTTCACATACTAAACATCATCAGATGGTTTTTCTTAAATTAGAATTTCAAAAGGGAAATGTACTTGTATGTAGGTAAAGGTGATTGGATCCAGGGTCACAGTTGTTGTCATAAGGTCTCCATCTCCTTTTCTCTTGTTAGTATCCCTTCTGGGCAGGTCTCTCACATGATGACTTCCCGGATCTACAGGCCTGATTCCCAGCAGCTTCCAGTCCACCAAAACAAGAACTGATTTGGCCTTGCCTAGTTTATATGCCCACTACTGAGACAGGCCTTGTGGTCAGAGAGATAGCTACTCTGCCTGCCCAGAAGGAGATGGCATACCTCCCCAGAGCTGGTAGAATTATGGAGTGGGAGGGAGACAGGAGAGGTGGGCAGGACATTGACCTGAGTCCTATGGACTAAGACAAGGAGATGGAAAATTTCCAAAGGGAAAATTACACTGTCATTACCAGAAAGGTGAATACATGTTGAGGTGACAAAAACAATAGCCGCTGTAGAGAAAGAAAGAGTGAGCAAAAGATGAGTTACCTCTTGATCCTTTGGATAAGTTTGCATACATCTTGGTTCCTAAAACATGCCTAGATCTATGTTTTCAAAGTGTGTGCAAAACTGGATCACTCTGGATAGGGTATGATAAAAGAGGAGATAATGAATAGAAAATATAGGAGGCATCTCATGCATATATGATTCTCCTCATTCTTGATATAAAATATATTTCTCATTGTGAATCACAATGAAAAAGGTTCAAAAGCTACTTGCTTTAATATTGACTGCAAAACTGCAATCATTGCCTCTAGACTTGCTTTGTTTTTGAGATTCTGAATATATGACCATCTTAATTCTACCATTACATTCAAGCTTATTAACATCCTTTCTTTTTTCTTTCCTTTCGTTCCTTTCCTTCTTTCTTAGACAAAGTCTCATTTTGTCACTCAGGCTGGAGTACAGTGACATGATGTGGCTTACTGCAGTCTCAACTTCCTGAGCTCAAGTGATCCTCTGGCCTCAGCCTACCAAGTAGCTAGGATCACAGGCATGTGCCACCATGCCTGGCTAGCTTTTGTATATTTTTAAAACTCCTCCTGCCTTGGTATTGGCACCATTTCTAATTCTTCCTACTAAAATCTCATTGTCAGCATATAGTTACATTAAATTTTATAAGATTTCTAAGGTTATCTTTGAACTATGAAACTACCTTTTCCCCACAGTTTTTAAGTAACATTTCCACACATAACATTCACTCATTCAACAAATAACAATTGGCTGGGTGTGGTGGCTCCCGTCTGTAATCCCAGCGCTTTGGGAGGCCGAGGCAAGTGGATCACCTGAGGCAAGGAGTTCGAAACCAGTCTGCCCAACATGGTGAAACCTCATCTCTACTGAAAAACAAACAAACAAAAACGTACAGAAATTAGCTGCACGTGGTGGCGGCTGCCTGTAATCCCAGCTTTCCAGGAAGCTGAGGCAGGAGAATTGCTTGAACCCGGGAGGCAGAGGCTGCAGTGAGCCGACATCACACCACTGCACTCCACCCTGGGTGACAAAGCAAGATTGTCTCAAAACAAACAACAAAACAAACACAAATAGTTATTGAGAAATTGTGTTATTGGAAAATTTATATATACATGTTTAAGTATCTTATACTCTTTGTAGATGTTAGTGCAGACATGTATCAATTACTAGGTCCAATATGGAAAACAGCATTTGAGTCCTGAAGAAACGTAATATGGGGAACTATTAATAGTTGCAAAGATCCTGGAAGAGCCAAAGAGCCAAACATGGATAATGAGGCAACCTAGCAACAGCAGGAAGGCTCTATTACCTCCAGAACTGGTGCAATTCAGGGTACTACCAGTGCCAAGGAACCAATGGGAGGCTGCCAATCAAAGCTGGGGCTACAGAGCAGGGGCTGTGAGGTGGGAATTGGAATCCTGGAGGGGACAGCCACTGTCAGAGATGCCACCCGAAGAGAGTGGAGGGGGAGGAAATACCTGGAATCTCCCCCTGCAATATCCTATCAAGTATCTCTCAGCTAGGAAGGGAGTTACGAAAAACATGATTTTCAGGGTCAGCCGTTTGCATTACACAGCAGGGCAGCACAAGGGAAGGCTGTGGATTTGAGAACAAACAGGCAAATGACATACATTTTATATTTTTCCCTGCTACAACACAGATTTGGACTTGCTACTTACTCCCTTCTAAAGTTTGTTTTTGTTTTTGTTTTGTTTTGAGAGGGAGTTTTACTCTTGTTGACCAGGCTGGAGTGCAATGGTGCCATCTTGGCTCACTGCAACCTCAGCCTCCTGGGTTCAAGCAATTCTCCTGCCTCAGCCTCCCAAGTAGCTGGGATTACAGGCACCCGCCATCATACCTGACTAATGTTTTGCATTTTTAGTAGAGACAGGGTTTCACTATTTGGCCAGGCTGGTCTAGAACTCCTGACCTCAGGTGATCCACCTGCCTTGGCCTCCCAAAGTGCTGAGATTACAGGCATGAGCCACTGCACCCAGCCTGAAGCTTGTTTTTAAGAATCATGAGTAAAGATATCACTCTAACTCCATAGGTATTCAATGGTGTGATGTTTCTGGGGTCTAGTCCCACAATAGCTAATGGTCCTGTAGTCATTTGCATGTAACTAACAGCCTATGCATTTTGCTATACAGATGTATGGATTTATTACTAATTCCTATCACTAATCCTTAACATCATTTGTCTTACTACTGTGACTTTAAGTATGTGTTCAAAAACTACTGTCTCATTCTCACTTACAAGTGCTGTGAAGGAAACAAGGCTACTAAAAGATGTTGGGCCGGGCACAGTGTCTCACGCCTGTAATCCCAGCACTTTGGGAGGCCGAGGCGGGCAGATCATTTGAGGTCAGGAGTTTGAGGCCAACCTGGCCAACATAGCGAAACCCCATCTCTACAAAAAAAAATACAGAAAAATTAGCCGGTCATGATGGTGCGTGCCTGTAGTCCCAGCTACTTGGAGGCTGAAGTGGAAGGATCGCTTGAACCTGGGAGGCAGAGGCTGCAGTGAGCTGAGATCATGCCACTGCACACTAGCCTGGGTGACAGAGTGAGACCCCGTCTCAAAAATAAATAAACAAATAAATAAATGAAACATGTTGACTGCCTTGTTAGATCTTACTACATTTTTAAGCTCAATCTGCTAGGTTTAAATTGAAAAAAGATAAACTGTTAAATTCCTGCATTTAGGTTGCCCTAAAGTAATTTCATGCTAATGATATACCATTATTTAAAATCTAAAGTACACATTTACGTAAATTTTTATTTGCCCCTAAATTGTGTGTGTGTGTGTGTGTGTAGAACTGAACTAGATCAATGGCTTTCAAATATTTTGCTCCTATACCCACAAAATAATTTTTATAACTGTGTATTCTTTGTCATAATTGAGTAAGAGTAGCAAATAATTCAGATAAACCCTGAAATTCATGGCTTAACACAATAGGTTTTTTTTTTTTTTTCTTTACACACACAAGAATCTAGTGCTGTATTCAGTGAGCAGCTTTTCATGAGGTTGTTCAGGATCCTTCTACCTTGTAGCTCCCCTGTCTATAGCTTTCAAATCATTTACTTCCAGTCAGTGAACTCGAGAAGAAAGAATGGGCAGGCATGCCTCCTTCTTGAACATTTCAGCCTGGAAGTAACATGCATTATTTTGACTCATAGTCCACTGGTGAGACTAGTCCCATGGCCCTGTCTAAATGCAAGGGATACTGGGAAATGTAGAAACTGCAGGTGATGCCTCCGAGGAATAACTCTACACACCACAGAGAGGCTGAGTTTTTAATCCATAAATCGTCTTTGTCTTTGCCACATTTATTATCCCTGTAAATCCCTTGCTCCTCACACTGAAAACATTTTACTCCTACTCAAGGGTAATATCCTGAAATCCTATGCCGTTACTATACCCAACTTAGATTTAGAATCACCAACAGATGCACAGTCCTCCCTGTCAGGAAGCACGTGGCTTCTCATGATCTAGTGACCTATGAACTTAAAAGACAATTTCTCTCATCTGCTCTGTGTGTCCACACACACAAACACTCTAATGATGAGCGAGAAGAGAAAAACTGCAATAAAATACCTCATTTGGAAAAGAAAAGAATGGGATGCAAACCAGTGTGTGGTCAACAGCAATGAGACAGTCCTACCTTGTAGGCATTATGAGGTCTTTCTTCCTTGACAGTGGGGAATTTCCTTGCTGATATTAAAATCTTCAATTTGGGATTCGTAATGTTACCATTGTGCCCAGGAGCCTCTCTCTCTAACTTAGTGAATTTTTTCTTTGCCTATTATCCTCCATCTTTTGGTGCCAGATCTTCTGGGAAGTGGCGGAGTTTACACATACTGTGTCCTGTCAATGCAAGTTTCTTTGAAACCCAAGGTTTATTTTGTCTTGAACGGTTAAAAAGCTTAAAAAGTTTTTTTTTTTTTTTTTTTTTTGAGGCGGGGGGATGGCATCACATTCTGTAGCCAAGGATGGAGTGCAATGGTGTGATCTCAGCTCACTACAACCTCTGCCTCCCAGGCTCAAGCTATTCTCCTGCCTCAGCCTCCCAAATAGCTGGGATTACAGGCACATGTCACCACGCCCTGCTAATTTTTGTATTGTTAGTAGAGACGGGGTTTCACCGTGTTGACCAGGCTGGTCTCAAACTCCTGACCTCAAGTAGTCTGCCCGCCTAGGCCTCCCAAAGGGCTGGGATTACAGATGTGAGCCACCAGGCCCAGCCCAGTTAAAAGCTTTTAAATTCTGACTTGGGATTTCTTCAGCTGTGCATCATATTAAAAAATTAGTAGGCTCTGATCTATTTACTTCTAGTGAATTTCATTTGCTTTAAAACACTAAATATTTTTAAAGTC